GTGGAAAAGAAGTTCCTGTAAAATAGTCTAATAGGGGGTATAGGTGTTGTGTTAGTTGTCTCTTCAGAGGTTGCATGGCTTTTCACTTTCCTTCTTATGATGTCTTCGATGAAACCATTGGAGAAGCCGTTATTGACTAGGACCTGCCTTACCCTACAGAGTTCTTCGTCGACTTGCTTCCATTCTGAGCTGTGGCTGAGAGCACGGTCGACGTAAGCGTTGACAACACTTCTCTTGTACCTGTCTGGACAGTCACAGTTGGCATTGAGGCACATTCCTATGTTTCCATAGTGTAGACTGCAGTGTGGAAACCTTGGCTCCTTTCCATGACTGTTACATCTAGAAAGGGCAGCTTCCCATCCTTCTCCATCTCGTAAGTGAAACTCGACACAGAATTCTGCTCGAATGCCTCCGCCAGCTCCTGCAGACGTCTGACATTAGGTACCTGTGTAAAAATGTCGTCAACATATCTGCAGTATATGGCAGGTTTCAAGTTCATGCCAACTAAGACCTTCTGTTCGATGGTACCCATGTAGAAGCCGAATTGAAAAACCAAGGTAAACAGATTGATCGAAACTGTAAACGCCAAGAAATCCGGACTCCACCTGCCAAAGATTATTGGGGAATACAAACCTGGGTATGTGTATGGAAATGTCAAGACACACAAGCCTGGAAACCCACTTCGGCCAATCATCAGCCAGATACCCACACCCACGTACAGACTGGCGAAGCGACTCAACGGTTTGCTGACTCCTTATGTACCTTGTGCTTTCAGCCTGAAGTCTCCAAAGGAATTTATTGACTTACTGCGGGGAACACGGGCCACAGGGATAAGAGCCTCGTTGGACGTAGTATCACTGTTTACCAACATACCTGTGGTAAACAAGTTCTGTGAACTTGAAACCTTCCATATACTGCAGATATGTTGACGACATTTTTACACAGGTACCTGATGTCAGACGTCTGCAGGAGCTGAAGGAGGCATTCGAGCAGAATTTTCGAGTTTCACTTACGAGATGGTGAAGGATGGGAAGCTGCCCTTTCTAGATGTAAGTCATGGAATTTCTGTAGAAGTCCTGTAGAAGTTCTCTATAAATTCCTGTAGTATTTCTGTAGAAATTATGTAAAATTCCTGTAGAAATTATGTAGAATTTCTGTAGAATTTCTATAGAAATCCTACAGAATTTCTTCATGAAATTATAGAAAGTGTAGTAATTCTACAGAAATTCTATGTAATACCTACAGAAATTCTACATAATACCTACAGAAATTTTACATAATTTCTACAGAAATCCTACAGGAACTCTATAGAATTTCTACATTATTTCTACAGAACTTCTACATAACTTCTACATAATTCTACAGAAATTGTGCATAATTTAGGTATAATTTTTGTAGACTTTCTGCAGAAATTCTGTAGGATTCCTGTGGGAATTCTGAGAGATTCCTGTGGGAATTCTGTGAGATTCCTGTGGGAATTCTGTGAGATTCCTGTGGGAATTCTGTGAGATTCCTGTGGGAATTCTGTGGGATTCCTGTGGGAATTCTGTGGGATTCCTGTGGGAATTCTGTGGGAATTCCTGTGGGAATTCCCGTGGGAATTCTGTGGGAATTCCCGTGGGAATTCCTGTGGGAATTCTGTGGGATTCCTGTGGGAATTCTGTGGGATTCCTGTGGGAATTCTGTGGGATTCCTGTGGGAATTCTGTGAGATTCCTGTGGGAATTCTGTGAGATTCCTGTGGGAATTCTGTGAGATTCCTGTGGGAATTCTGTGAGATTCCTGTGGGAATTCTGTGAGATTCCTGTGGGAATTCTGTGAGATTCCTGTGGGAATTCTGTGAGATTCCTGTGGGAATTCTGTGAGATTCCTGTGGGATTCCTGTGGGAATTCTTTGGGGGGATTTTGTAGGATTCTTGGGGGGATTTTGTGGGATTCCTGGGGGCGATTTTGTGGGATTCCTGGGGGGCGATTTTGTGGGATTCCTGGTGGGCGATTTTGTGGGATTCCTGGGGGGCGATTTTGTGGGATTCCTGGGGGGCGATTGTGGGATTCCTGGGGGGCGATTTTGTGGGATTCCTAGGGGGATTCCTATGGGGATTCCTATGGGATTCCTATGGGGATTCTGTGGGATTCCTGTGGGATTCCAGTGGGAATGCTGTGGGATTCCAGTGGGAATGCTGTGGGATTCCAGTGGGAATACTGTGGGATTTTTACATAATTTCTACAGAAATTACACCAAAATTATGTATAATTTCTGTAGAATTTGTAAAAAATGTAGAAATTATGTAGAATTTCTGTAGAAATTATGTACAATTTCTATAGAAATTGTAGAATTTCTACATAATTTCTACAGAGATTCTACATAATTTCTACAGAGATTCTACATAATTTCTACAGAGATTCTACATAATTTCTACAGAAATTCTATATAATTTCTACAGAAATTATACCAAAATTATGTAGAATTTCTGTAGAATTTGTATAAAAAATTATGTAGA